CCCACAACCTCCTCTTTCCTACCAAGATTTTGGCGATCCCCCCTCAATTTCACCTGCCTCCCCCCCCTCTGCCATACATTATGAATGCAGCCTTAGGTCAAATCGCAGCCTTGGAGATCAGTTCTTAATTCGAAGTTTCATTCATTCGAATCAGAAAAATAAAACCGGCGGCGATATCCTTCAAAACCTAGCTGAAAAAAGTCATAAAATCAAAATCATCTTACTCAAACTTTAGGCATCGAGATGGTCCTTTAATGGCAATTCAGTTACTAATCCAATGCTGAACAAAGATTTTTTTGTTATGTAAATCGAAGTCATTTTGTGTTATACATACTTCAAGCTTAGTACTACTCAAATTTACTTAATTTCTCCAAGATAAAGTTTTTTACGACTTAGTAAAATACTCTGCTCAACTCGGTTATTTAAGCATTGTTTTACCTGTAAGTTGAATTTTGCACAACGTTTTGTAGAATTTGTTTAAGAAACACATTGCGTGATGGCCATTTTCACAACATGGCGTAGGTTGAAAGGTTTTCAAAGTTCGCAATGAAGTTTCTCAATCTCACACACACAATAAGAATAAGAATGTTGTTCAAAAGTCATTTTAGCTAACATTTTAGTTCTGAAAGGGGGTAGAGTTAGCTAATRCACTTTTTTTCCTTGATTATTTTAAGTTTTACTGAAGATTATAAGTAAGCTTACCTGTAGATAATCTGTGTAGTTGAGTCGTTCGTCATAATTATTGCCTTGATCAATGCCGGAATCACTGTGCGATAACATAAATCAACAATATAAGTAAATAATTCCCGATCATAGCGGTAAAATGAAGCAAACTTACCTAGAACTAGCAAAAGGACAGCTCATTTTCACTACTTCGTATCACCAGTTACCTCGATCGGGCTCGGCCAAGTTCTGCTCGCAGTCTCTGAATTAGATATGCTTGAAATGCTTTAATATGCATAAGTTTTGTTTCGCAATTTCATCATTAAAAAAATAAATATGCAATCTACCTCACACCTTCTTCAAAAAAAAMCAAAAAAAACGCAAATTTAAAGGATAAAGATCGATTCAAAACTCTTATATATATCTGAAATTTCCTCGCAATCTTTTAAAGAAAAATGTCAACACATTTCTCGTCTGACACACCTCCATTACGCCCTCTACAGTAACCGTCTGCGAAGTTTATCGTAAAAAATCAGTCTAAAAAAGGTTGAGAAAATGCCTTTACGTACACAACCAACGACAAATATGAAACAGAAGGTCAAACAATACGAAGATCAGCAAGCAAACCGCTTACAAATGTAATAAAACGTTTTCGAAGTCTACGATACTTTTGAACATGCCTGCTAACAGTTTCATGATAAAATACCACTTAAAATGTTATCAAACTTTTGAAAAAAGATTTAAGCAATCATTACCTTACAACTGTAAGAGTTTGTTTTCTTGTTTTTGTAATTTCAATCGTTGATGATAGATTAAAAGCCTCTTTACATTAGTCATGAATCAAACGAGTTCCAATGGAAGTCTGGTCGTGCAGCACGTGGCACTTGACTCAAGTATGTATAAGTATGTCACGCGATGTCAAGCGAGATCCTTAGTAACTACTATCAACTGTTTCACGGTCTGGGGCAATCACTGGGTATTTTCTCTTGTGTCTATTTTTTATTTCACGTGTTCATTAAATGCCTTCACTTTCACTTATTTAATTAACTACCGTGTATCGCGACCCGCTGTTTCAAAACCTAGCCTGCGTCACATCCGGAATTTTCTTCGTAAATACCGTCGGTGTTTAAAGAGGAAAATTCCGGATGTGACGCAGACTATCAAAACCCTGCTTTTCTGAGCCATCAATCATCTTGGGTCTATGCAAATGAGTCTATGAACATTCTCGGTCAGATTAAATCAACACGTGTTTTTTCTAAAATCTAAAATGATTCGAGAGTATTCCAAAATATTCCAAGGAGTTTAGTTGCGATGGAAAGTTGTTAGAAAACGATGATTTATAATCTATAACATCAAGCAAATAACTGAGTTATCAAGCATGTGTGTACTTTGGGTCAAAAAACCCCTTTAATTGTTTCTTTCATTCAAACTTTATTTATTCATATAAAATAGTTTTTTTTTACCGCAATAATTATTTTAAAAGAGCAACCTATTTCTACTAATTTGCCGAGGTGTAAATAACCCCGTTACAAGAAACAACTTAAAGCACCCTGTTGGCATTAAAAAAACTTAGATAAGGCTTATAATGGTGATTTATATGATTCTTATAATTTTCCTCTACAGATAACAAATCTGGATTTATCTCACATAGTATCAAAAATATACAAAATTTGCAATCTTTTTCTTCCTTGGCTTAAGGCTTTGGCGTCTAAGGACTTGTTACTTCCAGAAAAGGGGCCTTTATTTTTCTAGGTACATCATTAGTAATGGCCAAAGTCACGTGATAAGCGCAATAAGTTTTCAATGTTTAGAATAAAATAATAATATCAATAGACTATACATGCTAAATAGTAAAAAAAAAGCTCAAAATATGTAGCCCAATATGTAGACTGTGTAAAGCCAGACTTTAATTCTGATTAAGACCATTTTAACCAGACTTAAAGTCGGTTTCCACACAGCCTACTATGGAGTGTGCAGTAATGAAAAAGGAAGTCAAGCTGAAATAATCGACTCAGGAGCCAAATATATATTTATAGCGGAGAAACTAATCGCAGCAACTCTCCCCACCCTCCTCCGTCCCACCCCACCCTTCTACCCCAAAAATAATTTGAAGCTGTGTTTTTGAAAAATAGTATATGGATCAACAAAGCTCATTGGATAAGCGAACGTCTGATAAATTTGTCTGATTGTGTTGGGTCAATTAGATGTTCGAGACGAAAGCTTGATGCATGGGTGGTTGGAAACATCGTACATGTTCGACAGGTCCGTCTGATGACTTAAGGTGTTTGTTCAAAACTGCAAAGATTTGACTGTTGAGGGCTTTGAAGTGTCGGGCTCGTTTAACGAGTCGCTTGAGATCCTACAAAGAAAACGATTTTGACTTAATTGATGATAATTATAAAACACCAGTGAAAGGCACATTGGGCATGCGCGCACATACTGGGTTGATTTTCCATCCTTCGTGTAACTGAATGAACCTTGTTTCAGTCTGAGCTGTGCTTTGTGCAGAAATGGGTTTAATGGTACCAATATTGTTTCAAGGTTTCAAGTTTTTTATTTATTTCCAAGATAATATTTTATACATGTGCAGGGGAAAAATGCACTACAAAGGCTTAAGAAAACCATTCTGCGCCTTTGAGCCTTTACACAGTGACTATGCAGCTCTTCGTAAGTCACTATCTGCTGAGGGGAAAAGTATGGCACGTACGAGCGCCGACAGCGGAAGTAAGGCTCAGGTCAAACGTCGAACTTCTCATGAGCCAAACCTAATTGAAATAGATAACAAGGCGGTCTTCTTTGATGTCATTAGGTTCGGCTCATGTGAAGTTCGAAGTTTGAACTTAGTCTTGAGAGAATTCTCTGTAAAGAAGTTGAGAGGAATAAAAATAAATATTGTGTATCTTTGTTACTCACCACTCCAGCCACCACCTCGTCTCGAGAATCAACCTCGTGTACCTTGACGATATGGTAACAGAAATCAAGTGCTTCAAAGCGCTTCTGTTGATTAAGAAGTGCGATGACCACACAGCCAGCCCAATTGAGGCCTTCACCAAAACACTCCCTACAAATGCATTAAGATTAAATATTATCAAAGATTTATTTTTTTGTAACAAAGACGAGGTTGTCAGACAGCACGGTGATGCAAGGGCGGATCCAGCCACAATTTTAGGGGGGCTAATTGAGTTTAGGGGGGGGGGGGGC